AGATTTTGGGTTTCCATTCATTCATTGTTGCACTATTCTCTCTACCCTCCTCCCAGTTTGTTCTTGTCCAAATGCCACAGTGCTTGTCAAAGCCAAGGAACCAGGAATTTTTATGAAACATGATTTGCTTAGTTCTGTGGTAGACAATTTACACTTGCTATTTTTGTCTCAAAAGATCTCAAGTTGAGGGGAAGTTGGGTTAATTGGTGGAAATTAATCAATCTCTGTGATTAATGACCATAGATGCCTTGCTGACTTGAAGCTAAGGAAATGCTCCTCCCCTGACTTTCTTGTCTTTGTGAACATTTGACTGTGTGTATCATAAAATTATAACATTGAGAAATATGGAAACCCCAGAACACTTAATTGTGCTTATTTGAAACCTATCCCTAGACTAAAAGACTGCTGTGTGAATGGACCAAAGGAACACTATTGTTATGTGCCATCGAGTCACTTGTGACCCATAGTAACCCTATGTACAGCAGCTCTAAGCCCTGTCCTGTCCTGAGCCAGTCTCACTAATTTCAACACACCAATCCACATAGCCCCTGTTACTGTATCGATCCATTGTATCTGGGGTCTTCCTCTCCTGTTATGTTCCTCCACCCTTCTGACCATCAGATCCTTCTCCAAGGACCATCCCTCCTCACCACGGGCCCAAAGTGAGATGGAGCTTCAAAATCCTAGCATCCAGGGAGAAACTTGGTTTCACCTTCTTCAAGACAGACTGATTTGTTTTCTTGGCAATCCATGGTATATCCAAGACTCTTCTCCAGCACCACAATTTGAAGGCACCAATTTTTCTTCTGTCAGCCTTAGTCATTGTTCAGCTCTCTGAGACACAGCAAGTAATTATGAAGACCATGGCTTGGATTAGGCAGGCACACCTTAGTCTCTAGACTGACTTTATTGCTTTTCAGTACTTCAGAGAACTTCCGGACAGCAGATTTTTCCAATCCAATTCATTTTTTTATTTTCTGACTGCTGGAGCTAAGAGTCTTGATTGTGGAGCTGAGCAAGCTGTAATTCTATCTCTTCTACATCTATCATGGTGCTATCAATTAGCCCAGTGGTGAGAATCTTTTGTCTTCTTGATGTTGTCCTATTAACAACCCCGGATGAGATGAATTTGTACAGTAACTGGGACAGTGAGGATTGGTGTGACTTGATCAGGACAGGGCAGGACTCAGAACTGTTATGCATAGGGTTGCTATGGGTTGCAGGTGACTAAACATATTGATGTTGTCTTCCGTATCGAAAACTACAATCCTTGACCTTCTGCAGCAAGTGCTTCCAGTCTTCTTCAGTTTCAACAAGCAAGGTTATGTCATCTACGTAATGTAGGTTGCTGATCCTCATAAATCCCACTTCCTGAATGATCAGTTTTAAACATTGATTGAGAAGATATGGAGACAGGATTCATCTCTGACACACTCATTTCCTGATCTTGAACCATGCAGTGTTTCCCTCCTCTGTTTTGAGAACTGCTTCCTGGTCCAAGTATAGGTTTTGCATAAGCACAATTAAGTGTTCTTGGATTCCCATTTTCTCAAGGTTAACTACAATTTGTTGTGATCCAGAGAGTCAAATGCCTTTGCATAGCCAATGAAACACAGAAATTTCTCTGGTACTTTTTACTTTCTGCCAAGATTCATCTAACATGGATGATGTCTCTAGTGCCATAACCTCTTCTAAATTCAGCTCGTATTTGTGGTAGTTCTCTGTCAATGTACTGTTTCAGTTGTTTCTGGCTAATCTTTAGCAGGATTTTGCTAGTGTGTGTTATTAGTGATATTGTTCAATAATTTCCACATTCTGTTGAGTCCTTTTCTTTTTTTTTAAATGGGAATAAATATGGAATTCTTCCAGTCAGTTGGCCAGGTAGTGGTCCTCCAGATTTCTTGGCACAATTTAGTGAGCTGAAATACATCAATTGGTATACTATCAATTCCTGGGGCTTTTTTTAAAAAAATTTTTATTTATTTATTTATTCTTTTTATGTGTGTACCGTCAAATTGGATCTGACTGGTACAGGAGGCGATTGTTCCTCCTTCTTCAGCAGAGCATCTGGTGGATTTGAACCGCGCACCTCTGGGATTGCAGTGCAGTTTCCTGCCACTAGGCCACCAGAGCTCGCAGGGGCTTTATTTTTTGCCAAGTACTTTAGAGCAGCCTGAACTTCCTTCTTCATCACCATTGCCTCTTTTTTTTTGTTAACAAGTTTTTCATTTAATAAGTCTGAATTCATTTTTACCACATGGTATTATACACGGTCATCTGCTAAAACATTTCTTTTTAACAGTTCTTAGTTTTAAAAAAAGTCATAGATACGGTGAGATTTGTATAAACTGGTGGATAGTTAGTTCCTCTGTTCTGACTTATAAGCCTCAACTTCACTGCAGAATAAACAATGTAGAGAAAGCAAGCATAATCGGTCACTCGTATAGAACAGTATTGTTTCTATAATTTGAAGCTTTCTGAATGGACGGGTTCAGGCCTGATGCAACTGTAAAAAGATTACTTAGTGAATAGACTATATGGAAATTGTATAAAATGTTATTAATTATTAACTTCAATCATTAATAGCTTAACCAGTACTATCTTACTAATTACTATTCAAAATGGAAAACCTGTTTTTTAATCCCCACAAGGTGGGACGAGGATGTACCATGCCACCTTGAATTTAGGGGTGTCAATACTCATTTCAAAAGAAACTTTGGCTTTAGGAAAGTCAGGAACATTTAAAAGAATGGCTTTAATTATCATTTTAAGTATATGATAAGGGGAATGTGTGCCTTAATTAAATATACATACCAGTGAGACTGGCAAGGTTCAAAGTCACTCCTAATGTTGATAGCAATCAAAACTAGTTTGTACGTGAAAAGACAATGAGGGAGGGAAATAACATAATAACGCAATCCCTTTAAGACAAATGAAAAACAATGCCCACAGTATGCATTTTAGGACAACATGTACAGCTCCAGAGCACCTTAGGGCTCTCTTATGCCCTGAAGAAAACGAGCATTTACATTATTTATGGGCTGTACTGAATTAAAAAGATCAACTGCATACTCACCCCGAGACAGGGTAAACTGTCCTGGGGAGTACAGCTTTATTTAACACCATCATTAAAGTGGTTTCCAGAGGAATGAAGAATGAAAAACAGAACAGAACAGGTGTCCTGGGAGGGATTCTCTCATCTGCTGTTACAACCAGCAAACATTATTCAGTCAAAAAAAGAGGGGGGAGGGGCCACACAAGTGGACACAGGGCTATCCGAGCAAGCTGACCAGGACACATTACAGTTTTAAAAATGAAACGTTATGTACTGTATGTTCCAAGTCCCAACTATGCGGTGTCAAAATGACAGCTATTTCTTCGCTTGCTTTGTAATCATACCCCTTGGTGGCATTACAGGTCTGGTGGCGTCCGGCTTCTTTTTCTCTGCAGGCTTTAAAATCTGGAAAGAGCACATGAGCGTCTCGTCCACGCTCATCATGGCCCCTGCATTGTCGAACTCTCCACGATAATTGGGCGCAGAAAACAGCGTGACCAACTGCCTCTTCGCAAAAAATTCATATCCGTCTTCAACCACTTGATGGGCTCTACATATAAGATCCAAATCATGCTTATGGAGAAATTTTGCAACCACTTCAGCACCAAATGTGAAGGACACTCCTCTGTCATTTTCACCCCAGCCTAAGACATCTTTATCGGGGTCAGACCACAAAAGATCACAAAGAAGACCTTGATCTGGGACGTCAGTTAGTCGCATAATTCGCCGAATCTGCTCCATAGATTGAAGATCTGGTGATAAACCTCCATGACAGCAGAATATCTTCTCATCCACGATGGCAGCTATCGGCAAACAGTTAAAGCAGTCTGTGAACGTTTTCCAGAGCTTAATGTTGTACCTTCTTTTACATTCATCATAAAAGCCATAAATTCTATTGATGCTGGCACATTCGTGGTTTCCTTTGAGAAGAAA